TTTATTCACGTTTCAGATGATGTTTAGACAAAACAAGGCTAATCTATAATATCTCAAAGTCTCTCTTGGTGTTTATTACACAATGACTCCTGGAGAAGAGAAAGTACATTTTTGTGCATTGTATGGATTTTCTATCTTGCAGGAGAGGAAGAGTCCAACGGGACACCCACAACGATGACAAAGAAGAAGAAACGTGTGCGTTTTGGAGGTCCCCTCTCTCCTGAGTTTTTCGATAAGAACCTGCCTCCGAGCACCCCATTACAAAAGGGAGGCACACCGGCCCGACCACAAACTCCCGGTGGGAGCTTACAGCTTCGTTCAGTGCTGAAGACACCGCAGAGTGAATCCAAGACACCCAAATGTCGGCCCGACTTCAGCAGCCCGACTGCGTTTGGTGCTTCTCCTACACTCACAATGCCTTGCAAGTCCAGAATGCACTCTGAGGGAGACGAAGAGGAGGTAAAGGTAGATGAGATTAAACTGTGTTGCCAGTATGATGATTACACTTTACATGTAATAAAATCTTAGTTACAAAACATTAACATTTTCCAATGACATCAGCTACAAACAGGCTTTCCACAAGATAATTTGTTCGTCTGTTTGTAACCGCCCTGTTATCTATTATTGTTACATCCTGTGAGGACGTTGGAGTGTGTGGGCGTGGTGTTGTCCTCTCCTCCTCCTTCTTTCTTGTCCCTCCCCTTGTCTCTCTCTACCCCACCTGCTGCTCATCTGCCCTCGTTTACCACCAATTACCCTCCAGAGGTGATATAAGCTGGAGGAGAGCAATGTGAGTGAGTGAGTGAGTGACCCACCCACCCACCGTGCGTGGCTTGTTGCGAGTAACTCAACTGGGCAGTGGTTTTGCTTAAGTGACGGCGGCCTCCATTTCTTGGTTTGGCCTGCCTGGTTATTGCTAATAGCAGCGTTGCTGTCTTTTTCTGTTGAAGCCTTATAGTTGTTTTCTTAGTTGAAGCGGTCACCATCTCTTAGGGTTGGCCTGTCTGATTTATCATTAAAGCAGTGTTGCTGTCTCTTTCTTTTGTTACTGCTTATATGATTATTGGGTTAATTAATTATAATAGATTTATTTTGTGTTAAACACCTCTGCCTGGTGTCCTTTTCATTTCAACCCGGATCCAACTGTTACTGTCCCCCACCCTCTTCGCCTTGCTTTCATGTGGGGGCGTAACAATTATTGTCTGCTACCTGCTGCTGTTAGCTGTTGTCTGTTCTCTGCAAGGCTCAGGATATGACCCACGATCTGGTCTTGATTATAAATATTAGTCATCAGTAAATAATACTGCTTTTCTATTTTCTGGTCCTAGATTGTTTTCCCTTCGGTGGAGGAGATTGGCTCTGCTGTGGCGAGTGATACAGGTTGATTACAGTTTATTGACCCTGAGAGAGATGGCTTATTGTCTCCAGTGGAATGCAATTCAGCTCTGATACGATAACAGCTTTCTTTCATTTGTTTCATTTTCAGAATGGGCGTGGGATGCCCAGCCATTGAATTTAAACAGTGCCTTCTACGAGGAGTCTCTCTCTCAGCTTCTGACAGGTAAACAGCTGTCATAGCTTTTTTTCTTTTAATTGTCACTTAGCTTCCTGTCCTCATCGATCTACTTCTGTAACCTCTATTTCTCCAGCAAATCTGAGTACACCAGCGTAAAAGACTTGTTGTGTGGAGCTGAGTCACGTCAGGATTTTTATTTTGACATCATATTAAGAAATTAAGCCGCCTTCTGCCTCTCTAATTATAAAAGAAAGATTAAAACAATCAGAGAAGTCAGAATGAGAGGCATCCTTAAATCTCCTCCTGTTGGTTTAAAAGCTGCACAGTTCCTTTTGTCAGTTGGACTGTATTAATTTGTGTGAATCATTTTTCCACGCTAATCAGCTGAGTTGTTATAATCAGTTATTGCTATAATCTCAAACAGAAGTCTTTTCAGCTGTAATACTGTAGGTTTTCCCCCAGAGTCTGACACCAACCCCAGCACAACCTCCCAGATGGATGACCAGTCTGAGCCTGACTCCCTGCCAGAGAAGGAGAAGCAACCAGACGCTGGAGTTGGAGGTCCAACTGCAGCCCGATCCAGCAACAGAAGGAGAAAGGTCTGCCACATTTAAGATTTTTTTTTTCTTCTTCAAATTCTAGGATACATCTCTGTGAGCTCATGGGAATGTTAAACAAAATACTCTGCCAAAATAATTTATTACCATCCTCTAGAGAATTTTATTCTGTGCAATTTTCTCTTGCAGTCAGCACCAAAACAAGGACTTGGAAGCGAACCTCAAGCTTGCTCCAGCAGCCGAAAGAGGAAGGTATGCTGTTCCCATAAACTGCATGATTCACTTGTACAAATGTCCATTTAGAAGCAAAGATGGCCTTTTTTTTTTCCTTAATCATTTGGAGGTCATAACATGTTCCAATCTAATCTACTGTTTAATTCTGCTGGATGTGAGCTTAATCACATTTAAGGACTTGTACTATGTGTGTGTGTGAGTGTGAGAGTCTATATAATATATCCTGGGGTAAACTTTTCTGTTCCCCCAGCTGCCAGAAGAGAGTGAACCTGTGAAGAGGTCGGCACGGTCTGCTGCCAAGTTGGCCTCTGGGAAGATGAAGGTGAGTTGGATGAGTGTGCTTGTTTGATTTCTCCTTCCATCACTTCACTGAGGGCTTTGCAGAATTTTTACAAGCTGTCATGTAGATGATGGCTACACAATCTGACTATGACGTAAGGTCATAGTGAGTATGTATTAATATGGCCCATATAGAGCTGCAAATAGCACATCTGTGATATCATGTATAGTGGTAATGCTGATCCTTATTCATAAAGTTGTGCATGAGTGGAGAGTCAACACTGCTGTCACAGATAATTACACAAAGAAGTTTGATGAGACAAAGTGAGATTGTTTGTGCTTTATATCGTAGTGGTGAGGTGTATATTGTGGCACAGAACCAGAGGAGACTATGTTACCGTTTGATCTGACTATGCAAATTTCCACACCGTGAAGGTACTTTAACTCATTCACTGCCATTGACGTCTATAGCCGTCAATTGCAGTGAATGAGTCAATGGGTTTAACTCATTCACTGCCAATGGCTGGCAGTGAATGAGTTAATAATGGGTTCTACAAGGACCTGTTATAGCATATTGTTAGGTTTGGATTTTAAAGCTGGCTGCAAAGCAACTTACACGGGGTGAAATGTTTCTGCTGATTAATAGAAGTGGAATACCATGAAACCATATGGATCCATTTATGTAGTATTCGGCTACACACAGTGAAGGGTTTTGCTTATGCAGCCCACACGGACATACATGTACAGTGTATACTGGTGGGAATGACACTCCATAGGTCAAATCTGGATTGGTTGAAAGGTTTGCACGAACAACACTTTTTATGTTATGCCATCCTCCAGTTACCTCGGGAGTGGGATGTTAGAATTCCAAGTTGGTGTGTACCAATAGGAAAAGCATGAAAAAAAGGATTTGTTTTGCTTTGGCAAAGCAGAGGAATTCATCTATATCAAGCAATACAGCATAATACTTAATGTAAGAACAACGCTGAGGACATTCATGGATAGACTCTTATCCATGAATCCAAGATACTGCCGCCCTTTTGGATCGTTAACTCTGGGTTTTTGGGATTGTTCCGACTTCCAGATCAGGACATTCAAATTGGGGCAGCGTTCCAGATGAAAATTCTGTCTAGGACCTTTGTGTGAGATGTCATCCTAATCCTGTATTGTTAGCATCGGTAAACTGATAAGCTTTTATCACTTTTTCTGCATCCGGGTTCCTTAACTGTTACATTAAGATTAATGTTATTGGGTTTATATTCTTATTTCACTATTGTACTGAGAACCTACTGAACCATGACCTCGCATCTGAGATAGGGCTGGGTGATATATCGATATATTTTTATACGAGATAAGATGTGACAATATCCTTAATATCGATATAGTATATGTTACGTTATAATTATACTTGTGGAGCCGCAAGTTTGCCTCTCTTTTGTCCACTTTTGTCTCTACGCAACATTACTCCGCCTCGCCTCTCTCCTTCACTGAACACAACTCCTCCTACCCCATCGCTTCACCTGCAGGCAGCGACAATATGGACACGGCAAATCTCTGTTAACGAGTTACTGCGCATCGCCCCGTGCGTGAGGTTGGACGGTGTTAACGAGCTAACCAAGCTAATGACCTAACCACTCTGGGCTGCACGGCCTAAAATCCTTTCATTTTCTCAAAAGTTGACAGCGCGCCTTATGCATGAATTTTGGTTGTGCTTGATGACCGCGAACCGATTTTAGTACGACTTTGGTAAGCTACGGAGCTGCACCGCTTGATGGATTGTCGGAGCATTACGGCTACCGAGGAGCCTCGCGGAGTGATATGTACTTTGCTTCAACATAATATTGCAGTATTGTGTGTATAAGGACTATAAATGGCACCTGTTAAGAGACGTGGTTACGAAGAGGATTTTAAACTCCAGGCTGTCAGTCACACAGTAGAAGTTGGGAACAGAGCAGCTGTGAAATCTGTCTCTTTGTTATTATGCTCAGCGTCTTTGTTTACATTTTGACTGCACAATTGTGAGCTTTTTGTTATGCACAAAAACAACCTTGTTTTCTTTTATTTATGGAGCATTATTATTTAATAAATGCTCATAATTTATTTTTGAGTAAATCTTATGTACATCTATGCTCTATGTTAATAAAAGTGCCTGTGTGACATCTGGGACACAGCTTTGACTAAGAACTCTCTTTTTGTTCTTACTTTATGGCTTTAAAAAAAAAATCGAGATATATATCTTATATCGCCGTCCAGGTAAAAAATATTGAGATATGAATTTTGGGTCATATCGCCCAGCCCTAATCTGAGATATGTATCAAGCGTGACTTTTGTGTACTGTTGGGGATAGACCAGATGAATAGACAGATCACAACCTTTTTAGTCTTTCAATCATAGAAACATTTGGAGATGATCTGTGTTTTTGTTGTCAAGAGATCCTGTTTTAAAACAAACAAAAAAACAACACAATAGTTGATCCATCCAGTTTTTAATCCACTCAACTGTAAAACGATGGTGAGTGTACTGTCGTCACCCTGCCGGGCGGGCGGGCAGCATAGACACGCAAATTTGTTAATGCGATAACTTAAGAATGAGGCAACATAGAAGTTTCACATTTGGGACAGGTTTGATTCCTGGTAACCTCAAGGTTAGAGCTTTCTGAAAATCATGTGAATGCGATAACTGAAATGAGGCAACATACAATTTTGAAATTGGTACTATTGACTAGTTTCACACTTAGCTCATCTACTAGGAGGCTGAGGGGTAACACTGCCAGCCACCAGTAATTTCTGGCATGTCTGTACACAGCAGACCCAAACTAATTTCCACGATTATTAAATACCTACCTCATTAAACAGCTCACAAATATATACATCACTACCTTTTTCTTTTCTTTTTTTTAATTCAAGGAAATGTGATGGTATTTACAACATCCATGTATTCACAGTGAGTAGGGTAGGAAGTCACAATAGGGCAGAAGGAAAAGGAAACGAAGCACAGAATAAGATAAAACATTGACAAAACCACTGTAATCATGTGTTTGCCGACTGGGCACGTACTGCAGTTGACTATGTGGAAGCATTTGTGTGACAGTGATTTATTTTTAAACATGCTCTTACTAGACTTTTTCCCCCAACACACTATGATCACTTAACATCCACATGATCACCTAACATCCACATGTCACTTTTCTATTTTCTTTTCCCTATTCTTCCCATTTTCAGTACTTTAGTTGAATGTGCATTACATTTTCATGTGTCAACACTTGACTAGTGCAAAGCATAAAAAAGGTAGGATAAGTGAAATGGGTTTAGCCCAGGGCAGGTCAAGCACACAGGGTCCTGATAGCTGTCTAGACTGAAGCTCACATTACTGCAGTCCACTTACTGAGTGTGCAGTGCCCAGCTCATGTCCACGGGATCCATCATTTCCACACTTCCTGTTCATCGTCTGTGTAACGGGTCTAGTATTCTGGCAGCATCGTGTCAGATCGGATGCTTGAAGTAAAATATCTGTTTGGTTTAAACCAGCCGGTGGAACTAAAATGAGGACAGATTAAGCAACTCAATGTCTTCTTTCTCACCTCGCTTGTTTTCACAAACATATCCCAAAGAAAGTTGGCAAACAAGCCGTCATGTTGTTTTCAGTTTGAAAGCCCACGTGAGGCGTTCGCCCAGTCAGATGCAGCCCAGTGTTTACACGGTTATGAGAGAGAGAGAGAGAGCTGCTGTCGAACACTGAATGGCTGCAAAGTGTCCAGTCCTGGGAAGCAGGGAAAACCCTCACAGGCAAAATAAAAAATTTCCCCCTTAGACACAAACTGTATCCGTACTTTAGGTTTGTTTTTGTTTTTTTTCTTCATAGATTAATGCTCCCAGTCAGGACTGTATTTAAAGCTCTGTGTTCAGATCTGTCAAACAACTTCTTCAGTTACACTCTCAGGCTGTGCGATATGATGAAATATATCGGATGACAGAATTAGAACATCTATCGTTTCATATTATACGCTATAATTTGTCTCGTGGTGTCGCAAAATACAGTTTATTGTTTTCATTGTTTGGATGGTCACCATGTGGATGCAGCCACAAAGAATACCAGCATGGCCAGTGAAGATGATACAGAACCAGTTAGCACCAAACAGAGGGACCTGGTTGGTTATGAAAGGTCTGACAAGGACCAGAAAAATGTATCATGCAAATTATGCTCAAACCGGTCCCCACCACAGACTCAAACACACACAAACCTCGTCTACCACCTACGCAAGAATCACGTGAAAGAGTATGGAGAGAGTTTACGGATGAGAAGCAAAAAAGAGCCGTCAGGTGCTCAAAATAAACCTTAGACTCAACTGTTAGAACAGGCTTTTCTCCGCAGCACGCCGTGTAATGAATACAAAGAAAAGGGCAGCTGTTATAACTTGTATCTAAAAATATATAGCTTCATGCATTGGTCAAAACACTCGACTCCAGGTACACGACGCCCAGCTGAAAACACTTCACACAAGTTTAGTTGCCTGAGATTCACAGAATTTACACACATTGCACTTTTTTGTGATATATATTGTTATCGGGATGTGAGATTTTGGTCATATCGCGCAGCCCTATTACACTCCATGAAATGCAGACAGCTGATGAAAATGAAAGTGCTGTCTGACTACAAGACACACTGATGAGCACAAAGTGTCACCGAAGCAGAATCCTAAGAATCGGAGGATGAAGCAGATTATTACTCCTGCAGGGATTCAGTTTTCCATCTTATAGGTTTTATATCCATAACACACATTCGCCCAAGAGCACGAGTGAACATTCTCCAGCAGTTTTTTCTTTAACTTTGAGCTAATTGATAAAATATTTTCAGCTTTTTTCAATTTTATGTTTGTGTTTATAAAATATGTTTGTGCATTAGATAATCATTGTATTATTAATGAAATGTGCAAGATCGAAACACTCTGCATACCATATCAGAGGTGGATACTTGCCAGCTTTAACGCTTCTGCAGGCTTGTCAATGCAGAATTTTCTAACACTGCAGTTTGTTGGTCCCCAGATGACCTCCAGCACAACGCGTCGATGGAACAAGGACGTAGACCGCTCGCTGTACGGCTCGCGTGAATATGCCTCAAAGAACCCCGCCCTGAGTCCCATCACCGAGAGGCTGTCCTTCATCAGTCAGTCTCCAACAGCACAGGAGACTCCTTCAATCAGCTGTATGGGTAAAAAGAAAAAAAAGTTGCCAGTGTGTGATTTAGCCTGTGGTTGGAGACGGTATCAATGTCTGGATGTCAAACTTTATTTTAGTCCCTAAAAAATGAGAACCTTTGGATTCAGGGGAAACCAGCAGAAACATTTTTTTCCTGAGATTTTTCTTTTGTCCTCATTTTTCTTCACAGCTCCAGATCAGGAAACCCAGCTGAATCCTGAGGTAACTAATGAAACTCAAGTGATACACGACCTCGCTGTGACAAATGCCTCAGAAACCACTGTAGAAGATTCTGTCACATGCTTGAGTGAAAAAAGTGCCGCCGGGCAGGACAGCAGGCTGTTGGGGGTGAGGGCCAGAGGAAGACGACTGAAGAAAAGGAAGGTCAGTGTCGCTGACAGTGACCTGACCAGAGGAGAGACAGAGCAGCAGCTCTATGAAGAGCAAACCACTACAAGCCTTGAGCTATCAACGAGAACCCCTTCTGTACATGAAGAGAGACAAGAAGACACTGTGGAACTTTGTGCCCAGACCTCTGCAGATACACCCTGCACAGAGTCAGAATATCACGTGAGTGCACATGTACCTACTTCAGACTGCCTGAACAGCACAGAGCCAGCACACGGGAAAGCCAAGCATGGCAGGAGGAGCTCTGTAAGCAGCTCAGTGACAGCGGAGCAGGAGAACTATGTAAAGAAGCACCAAACCAGCTGTGAAGAGGAGGAGGAAAGACAGGGAGACCGAGCAGCAAGCTCACAGGAAAACATCCAGTCAAGCTCTGATAGCCAGGAAGAGGGGGAAACGGCTCATGTGGACCTTGCTCCCTGGCAAGCTGACTTTAATTTTGAGGATGTGTTTAAACCAGTTTGCACTAGAGGGCAGCGCTCAGTGCGGCGCAGCCTGAGAAACCAGAGCAACGCTGAGAACAGCAGCAGTGCAGGGCTCACCTGGCTGCCTCGTACCTCTCCCGAGTCCAGCAAAGAGACCCGCAGGAGGACCCGGGGCCGTCGGCTCAGTGCTGCTCTGCCCAGCCAACCGTCACTCCCTGAGGAGGCAGGAGATGCCTCCTGAGATCATTTACCTAACTTAATGAACTGAGACAACTAAAACATTGATTTTTTTTTTTTCTTTCTTTTGTTTCTTTCTCTGTGAATTATTAGAGATGACCAGCAATTTGTGAGTGGTTTCCCTCCAGTAACTAAGCTAGTCAATATGCTGAGAGCTCAATCATCTCTGCTGACCACCTAATCAATATCGTGGCACTCGGCTGGTAATCACAGTGCATCTTCAGTCTGCCTCTACAAAGTCACTGGATCAGGAAATGAAGTCAATATCTGCTCCTGAGGCTGGATGAAGATTGCTGTGTCGCATTCACCAAATGTGTCAGCCAAAGGCAGGCGGGCTTTACACAGAGAACTTAAATGAATGTGCTCAAGTAATTCTGCTTAATTGTGATTGGTGGTGGTTGTTGTTGTTGTTTGTTTTTTAATAATCTAAACAGTTGTGGTTATTGAAAAGCAGATGCTTGTAAGGTACAGTTTGAACCTTACAAGCATCTGCTTCTAACTAAATATATTGCCTCCATGTAAAGATGGCACATTAGAACAAACTGTGTTCATTTAAAAGGATGCTTTAGATTCATTTAGAGCAAATTAATCCAGATAATAAAGCAGCCGCTTGTCTCCACAAACGTGACGTTCCAGCTGTGTGTGGTCACTCGAGTTCAAGTGCAGCAGCTTTCCCTTTAGCATAAACCGTCCTGTTCTGTATTTTAAACATGACCAAATGCCTGAAAGTAAATTGACCTCTAACCTCCACCCAAGTTCCAGCGGTTATTGATTTTTAAAATCTGTTGCTCAGTACCGGCTCCATCCATCTGTCACAGAGGGCAGTAACAAATTGAGTTTCAGATTCAGTTCACATAGGAAAATTGGCTCGCAGAATGATGCATGACTGTAATCTATCCATCACTGAGTAATTGACTGCCTCCTTTTACATCGAGTCAGTCACTTGGCTGAAGGACGACAGAGGTTTTTGGCCCCACTAGTGATCTGCCAAGGCCTTTTTCTGCTCTCTATTCCCACCGGAAGACAGATGGACAAAATCATAAACCCACTAATGTGATGTTGTGTGGCTGCAGTGGGGCCACACTGCCATCTGGTGGCACTCTTGCAGAATTGCTGCTTATTGATGTGCCGCTCCTGGGAGGGTGCGTCAGGAAATGATGCTACTGTCAAGAGTGGGAATAATATAAATGTGTGGAAGTTCAACTTTATGGATGGCTGCTACTGCTTGGAGAGAGAACAAACACACAGACTAGGCTCGTGTGTGTGTGTGTGCGTTTTTCTGCTCGACTGTGACACTGTGTGTTTGTCTGCTCTTGTCTCTTTTAAAACTTGTATCATCTTTGTAAATGTGCAGTTTATAGAGTTGAAGCCAAACTGCTGCACCTCTATAATATGAGTGGGTGTTGGGTGTGTTGTCTGTGAGAGAGAGCCCGGGAGTGTGTGTGTACGTGAAGGGTGTGAAGCCCCTGTCCCTGGCAGACGGGCATACTGAAGGCGGCTTAACACAAGAACAATGGGGTCCTTTGACCAAAACGACACCCCCAAGACATGTGGCCTCCTGTCACCGTGGCAACCCCCCATGGGACAGAGCAGGATGACAGCTGGAGAGGAGGACTTACAAAAATGGAGTCCATTTCTTTCCACTGAAGCTCTCCCAGCTCTATATCTTTTCCCCTCTTCCCCCGGGCCTCCTCTACACTTTGGCCCTGGTCAATGCAGGATACATCTCATTTTACAGCTCCGTGTGATTGACCTTACAGGCTTCACTTGCCACCTACAAATCCTCCAGAGGGAAAAATAAATAAATTAAGAATCAGCGCCAACAATAAATCAGCTCTTTATTGGCTCTCATTACTGTCCGTAATAAGAGCGCATTGAGCGTCGCAGACAAATACGCGGCTGAGCCACAAGATTTCACACTCGCTCTGCTCTTGATTTTACGCCTCATTTTAAAACGGATGATCACTTTCTGTACGAGCACAAAGAGACATAATCAGTTATTTGTACTTCCAGATTTAGAGACCTTGGTCTTTCAATTAGTTAATTAGTAACTGAATGGTATTAAGTTGTCCCGCTGCCTGTGGCCTTTCTGCGCTCTGTACTGCGAGCCTTCTATTATTGATGTTCAGAGGCACGATCTGTAAGCCATACACAGCTCTCCTATGGAGCTGAAGACAGCAGGAGGAGGGCGACAAAACAAAAGGCAGGACAACAGCAAGAGACCCTCGAGCTACTCTGTTTGGTTTGCTGTCCCAGTGTGTCTGCATGCTGCGACTGGCTCAAACCTGTTTAAGAAAGCTGCCTCTACACACAGACGAGAGGGCGTAGTATAGATTCTTCATGCCTAATCTAGGAATCCAATACTGGGAACATACTAGGACATCGTAATCGGTCATTTAGTGCGGCTACTTTAAAGCAGCCTTGGATTAAAGTTGGGCTCAGAAATTTTAACAGTGGAGCTTTCAATTTAATTTCCCTTTTAGTCTTAAGACTAGGGTTAATCCATGTGTGGGAACGTGTCTGCACAATTACAGCTGTGACTAACAATTGGGTAATCTGTCTCATCCCCCCCAAAAGTGTCCATAATCATAAAGAGAGCGTTTACTTTTTTCATAATTCCTGTTTCCATAATGGTTGATCCAACGTTATGGACAGCTATTTTTAATGCAAATATACATTTGTAGTGTTCATATTTACAGAAAGCAGGGAAAGAAACATTAAAACTATTTTTCCATTAAGATGCCAAATGCATTTCTTTATTTTCATTCCTGAACAGAAACATTAGTTGTTGAATGTTATGCTTGATTCATTTCTGACTTCTAAGAGAAGTCCATAGTGTTTTTTTTCTGGTATAAAAAATGTGATTTAAGTCATTTTTAGTTTTAATGTTTTTGACAGATTTCTCAAATAGTTTTGTTTTCTTGTTTTTATGACAAGTGGTCTAATAAATCAGTTAGGCACATATATACACATGCATATAGTGCTTTTCTACTCTAATCTGGTTAGAAACACAGCTAAGCTGCAAGAGTTGCTAATCCTTAATCTTTCTCAAATTGGAGAAGCTCGCAACTTCCTGCAGTCTACTCTGGCTGCCCAGCCAAGCTGGCCACAGCCTCGGGCAGAGAGGTAGTAACCAATGCGTAATAGCCAATATAAATGGGGTGCAGGTGTGCATTTTAGTACCGGTTAAGTTAATTAAAAAGAATCTTTGCACATGTGAATGCTTGGGGGAAAAAAACGCTCAAATCTACAAACAACATCAGCAATGTTATCTGTGTCGTTCTAACTGTTTGTAGTCGAGTCTGATGTCTTTATTTTCTTCCAGAAGCCTGCTGTGTGTTAGGGGTGTGATGGGGAATACCCAATTAGACAGCAAACGTGGGTGCCCGTGTCATTGTTTCCAAACATGTGTTTCTATTCATTCACACTAAAATGCAGTAAATTCTCCTGTAGTGCTTCTCACACACTGGAGTTGTCTGGATGTTAGGCATGAATGTAGGAAAGATCTGAGTTCTAAAAGAAATATGCACGGCCCTGTGGAGGTCTTTCACATAGATGAGAGACGGGGAGAGCACCCCAGCAGTCAGGTCACTCACATGCATGACAGCCCACTAAGTTTGTCTAAAGGCACCTGAACAACTCGGACCATGAGAAAGCTCTATTGGAACAGATGTGAGTGGTAATGCACGTGTAAGCAAAGCTGTGTAACTAGTTAAAGATTCAAAACTACACGCAATGAAACGGCGAGCAAGGGAAGAGTACCAAAGCAGCATTAGAGAGGTTGCCGTTGTGCCAGGAGAAATTAAAGGAGAGGAAGTAAACGATGCGTCCAGCATTATGTGTGTTGACGAAACAGAGCTCTGCCGTCGCATACCTGCGCAAATCCTGACTGTGTCTGAACTCGATTTATTCTCGAGTGCTACAAACGAGAAAAACCCCGGGTGTTCAGATGAAGAACAGAGGCGCTCACTCGAATGTTAATTCTTCAAACGCGCTTTAAAAAAAATCTAACAGGCTCCATTTGATTGATGTTTGATGATCTTTGTGTTGTAATCAGAAAGATTTCATCATCTTGTAGGGAAGATGATTAAGTTCATTTTTCACCTCAAAATTCTACACACAATACCTCATGATGACAAGGTGAAAAGTTCTTGTAAGTTTATTAAACAAAACTACAATATTTCCATTGATCATCTATCAGATGCTTCTGCTATTTAAATGAAGTCCACCTGTGGTAAATTCAGTTGACTGGATGTGAGCCCAATAAGCACACAACTGTCTACATAAGGGCCCATCGTTAACGGTGCATGTCAGAGCACAAACCAAGCTGTGAAGTCCAAGGAACTGTCTGTAGACCTATGAGACAGGATTGTATCAAGGCACGGATTTGAGGAAGGGTACAGGAAAAGTTTCTGCATAATTGAGGGTCCCAGTGAGCACAGTGGTCTCCATCATCTGCAAATAGAAGAGGTTTGAAGCCACCAGGACTCTTCTTAAAGTCTCTAGACTCTTCTGAGCTAACGGGGTAGAGTGGGCTTAATCGAGATGCTTGGCCTGAATGCCAAGCGTCGGATCTGCGGGAAACGAGGCATCGCTCATCTCCTGGCCTGCTACAATGAAGCATGGTGGGATGCAGGGACTGAGAGACTAGTCAGGGTCAAGGGAAAGATGAATGCAGCAGAGACATCCTTAATGATAACCTGCCCTAGAGCACTATGGACCCCTTACTTGAACAGGAACCTGAACATCTCTGGAAAGTTCCATGGGTTCCACAACTCACGACAACACTTACATCATTAGTTCTTTCTTCTTTTTTTTTATACTGTAGTTATGTTTGAAGTGTTTTTAGGTAAGGAAAATTATACCTAATAAATTAAATTATACCTTAAATTATAAAATGTTATAAAGCACTATCCAAAGACATGTGTTTAGCAGACTGTGTTTTTCAACAGGTGTTTTGAAATATAATCATTTAAAAAACAGGAAAACAGTTTTCCAGGGAGAATTTCACACATGCTGTAACACACAGTGGCAGACGCTTGGAAACCTTAAAATAACTAGTGTACAAATTGCCTGCTCAGGTGTGTTACTCCTTAACAGAGCACTTTCAAGACCATTTCTTTTTTTGTTTGTTTTTTTGGCTTGCTAACATCCACACTCACACTTTGGCAGTGTCCAGCATTTTACAACAAAATGTAAGTCATAGTACAAGGATAGGTGTGTATAGCTATTTGCACTTAGCCCCCTCTGTGTACTAATCTACTCACTAAAGCCCTTCTCAGTGCAGGAGGCGACCCAGATCAAGATCTGCTGTGGCTGGCTCCTCTGTGAGAAATGGGCATGGCTGACACATGTCAGCCGTGATAAATGAGCAGGTGTTTAGGTCAGTGTTAAGTAAATGGAGTCATTATTGATGACCTCAGAGCCCCCCTGTGTGTTGCCAGTATCAGTGATGACTTCCAGGCGCCACGCTGCAGTACAAGGGGACACTGTTGTGATTCTGGGGGTCAGGTGAGGATTCGCTGCCTCGGGGAACACACTGCACTGTCTACCACAGTAGCCTGGACCGATGACCTCAAAGAAGGAAGCTCACCAGAACTGGAGCACTCGGGCGGCCTCTGTGCAGACTGTTTGTGACTTGAACCTGCGATGGTTGTCTCAAAACTTACTTTCTTCTTCTGTTGTCCCGTGGGAGCAGGCAACCGGGTTTGTGTCACCACTCAGTGGAGCTCCAGTGCCACAAGTCACTGATCTGTCATAGTGTTACATGAAGTGCATGAAACACATACATGGTATTATCAGCAGGCAGCTGCCCTCAAAGAGACAATCTGGAGATGACTGTATGTCAATAAAACCCAATTTTCATCACCTTACTCAACTTCAAACCCATTAAAAATCTATTAACTATGGTTAAAATCCAGGTCTGTGCAGGAAACCAACCTTTTTTAAGTCAGTAAATATGTATAATGTACAATCATTCCACCCTGGAAAAAGACAAGTTCAGAGAAATCATTTTAAAAAATGACCATGAAACTTAAGCCCATGATGAGTGGATGGACAATTTTGACCACAACTGTATATCAGCACCTTCTATGCTGCCAAATAGCAACAACCATAACCGTCCTTTTTTGAGTCGTGATAAAGGCTTTTTCATGTTTTCATGGATTATTTTTAGTGGGTTGCTGGTGCTGCAGCAATCCACATTCACTTCCATCTTGACCAATAACTGCACATATCTACACTGAAGTAGAAGCTTAAAAAAAGATGCACAAAATGACGTTGTAGGAGGTTTGGTCCCTAGTTCCTGCAGTGAAGACGCACAGAAATACAATGTTTTCCATCAAAAGTTACAAGAACTTCAGAAGTTCCATATCCACTAATTAGCACGGACACCTTCATTTAGTGATGCCACATGATGAAAAAGTAGTGACATTAAAAAAATGTTTGATTAATTCTAAGCTGTCCAACCCAAATTTCATGGCCATCTATCCTCAAGTTATTGAAATATTCCACTGTCAGCACAAGTTGAAACATGAGAGGATCGAAGGCAGTCTAATTTGCAATAAATTGTAATAAGACTAAATTAAAAGAAATGTGACAGTGGATTGACTGGTCCAGACTAATAAAATTTAATCGTTGTCATCGACAGGGCCTTGATGCTAGCATAACAGTATCATAGACTCCATGTAGCCATCATGACATAAGCCACTGCTATGAAAAGTCCCATTGTGATGTTTCAGTATCTGCCGATGCAATCATGGACTAAATGTTGGGTCTAGCTACTTACCATTCACACCAATATGCTTCTATGCAATCTGACTTCTTCTTTTTTTTTTTTTTTAAATCAGACGAGTCGCCCCCTGCTGGCCATCAATAAGAATATACACTGGAAGAGTCCAGTTTTGCAGTCTGCGTGCAACAATCTATAACGAAGCCAAGAACCTTCGAACTCCGAAAAGCCACTTGAAACGCATCCCACATTAAGTATCCCGAAAACCTGTTCAACACGAGTTTGCACGCTGCTCTGTCGCTGCCGATACTGCGGGCAGGAAACGTGTATGTGGAAAACCTGGATGGATGAGACACGATATTATCATCACTCTCCACTGCTGTCTCTCTCCATATGAAAAACACAGCAAGCCCTCTGTCACTGTCACCTGCGTGAGATACCGCCATCCAGAAGGACTCAGAGTATTTATCAGCTCCGGCACGATGAGTATAAGCACGCCACGTTATTATACGTCTCTCAGGATAATCTGTGACTTTCATTTACATCGATATGATTACATAACACGCTCCATCTGTTGCTTGTTGCTAGCACAGGGGGGAGACAAACATGCATAGCTTTACACAGAGAGGAATCTAATTATTCAATTAGGGACTGTATTGAATGACTAACTGATTCACTGCAGTTTACATAATGACAACACAGATCACTACTGCCTCTGTAATGCAATTTAGTACTACTGTGGAGGGCTCATCATTCATGGGAATGTAGTCTTCTTCTTCTTCTTCTTCTTCTTTTTCCTAGCTTCCATTACCGTGCAGTAATCTGAGAGTGGCAATATATACTGCATTGATTAAATCAAGAAATCACACATCGTTAGCGTTCACTCGCCCATTAACCAACGTATGCCTTTTGACATAAATCTCAGCCCTGGCTCTTAATGAAATTGATTGAAAAGGCTCTTCATGTTCCGGTGTGAGAAAAAGCTTGTTGTGCAAGTAAACGATCAAAAAAGAAGGAAAAAGTGGGGGCGGCGTGGAGGTGGGGGGGAAGTAGACAAAGCCTGCTGAGCTCCTGAGGTTAGGACACCCCCCACCCACCAGGCCCACAGGAATGCATGTGCGTGTGAGAGTCCTGGAGGCTGTATTGTTGTCTGTGGTGCATCTTGCTCTGCAAACACTGTGGCTCCGACTTGGGAAGGAGCCTATAATGTGGGAGGTCTGGATACCAAACGGCCAAACATGGCATCATGTGATATCATTTCTTTTTGTTGTGTGCAAGCGGAGAAACCCTCTGTGGTGCAGTTATTTAGTTACAAATGAACTTCTCTCCTAGGAAGAAATGGCTTTGATGCTGTCATAAAAACCTCTCGAACAAACAGACACTAAGGCTGGACCGGCGCTATCACCCGTCTTTTAATTGTCTTTGTTCCGATCTTCACCGTTTCCACTTTTATTGCCTTTTGATTGCATTTACACAGATTTCTATTTGCTTTGCTGTCGAGACCTGTGTGCCGTGTTGGGGTTTTTCTGTTTGCCAAAGTCTGAGAATTAGGCTGCCGTACTGCCATCCAGAGCATTAGGGTATAATAAAGCAACACAATGGCTCATGTTACCAGAGATGTAATCAGGATGGAAAATAAAAACTTTTTTTAAAAAAAAAACAATAACACTGGGGTTGAATAGAAGTCAAAAAATACAAAATGGAATAAGCTTGAAAACCCTGAAATGGAAAATGAGCAAAGCCATTTAGAAGAGAAGTTTTGACACTTGCAGAAATATTGTTATGTTTCCAAAACATTACATTTATCTCATGTGTTCAGGATGAAGCCGCAGCATGTCGTAGATGGTTACATGCTTGAATATTTCCAGGATTCTCAGAGGCTTTCTTTTACTTTTAGATTCTGTTTTGTTTTTGCAAAAGCAACACATAGTCTTTTAAATAGTGAGCTGTTTTTTGATTGGTTAAGGCACTGGTAGCTGTTTGCCTCTGTTTTCAGTCAGCATCATATAAACAACACACACATCAGTGTTCCCAAGTGAACAGTGTGTTTCCCGAAATGTTGAAATGGCCCATTAACAAACCAGAGTCTTTAGGCCTAGATGATCTCCGATAATAAGTAAGTCTGCTCTTAGTCCATTTATTTTTATTTTTCAAAAGCTGTATGTAAAAGATGGACAGGGCTTTGGGGTCTAAGTGTTTTAAACTGCAGTCTTACTAATGGCCAGCAGGGAGGGTGACTCCTCTTGTTGCAAAAGCAGTCAGAATGTACTGTACATGCAATAAACACTTGAGTTGAACTGTTGGTCTCAGTTGCTTGGTTCAGGTCTTACTATTAAGCTGTGGTTATTTTGGTATCTGCAATCCCAACTTGGAATAAAACGAACACTAAAGGTTTGCCATTCTTGTGGCCGGGCTCCTTGTTGATTGAAAAGTTGCTCCTGCGTGAGATGTGTTGGTGGTCTGTCACAGCAAACCAGACATTCATCTTTTATATACAGTCTATGCTTCTGTTGTTGACCCTGGTTCTACTTCAACCCACGCACATTTTTAGCCTGCATAAGATGCTTTCCAACATACAAGACCAAACACAAACAATCCTGCCGTTATAACTTTATCTGATATATTTGCTAGATGACAGAAAAAGGAATTTCACGTAACAGCCTCTCGAGATTTATCTACAATATTTAAATAGACTTCCTTTTTGCATTTGGAATATCCTGCAAAGCAATTTTTAGCACATAAAAAAAGTTTATCTTGTCTTCTGATGAACCACAAACTAACCCAGATTACATTTTTATTCCACTGAGTGTGAGATATTTGAAAGTTTGACTCTGTTTTTGAGACTGTGCTGGTTTTAATAATCACATTTTGTCACTTGCTTGTCAGTTGTCTCGCTTGAGATTCTTTATGACACACCTTGATGAAGTCAGCACTGTCTCCCCTGTCTGAAAAACAGCTTCAAGAAAAGTTTTGACTTTGGCTTTTGACTCCTGCCTCTAAAAGTAAGAAACTGCTACCGTGACTGGATCCTCCTCTGCTCTATTTAACAGTGGTAAAGTGAGAGCTATTTG